TTGGTTGATCACCGTTTATTGTTTAAAACTAGTTCCTTTCTCCTTCCGGTTAACCACTGTTTATCAGTTAATATACCAATTTCCCCTCAAAGTTAAACACCTCCCTTTGGTGTAATACTCTCTTTCGATTGGTTCGTCACAGTCCGTCTGTTGACACCAACCTTTTTGCTCTTCCCATAAAGTTTTACTCTTATCTTTATTCGGTTAATCACTACTTACAGTTGATGCACCGAGTTCCCCGTGGATCTTAACTTTATTTTGATTCTTGTCCTTTACTCCTTTCTTCCCCAGCCACGTCGCCATTCTTTTTTTTTCTCCCCAGTGGAGTCATCGTTTTTCTTCTGCATTCCCCAGCAGAATTCTTTCCTCGCTTCTCTGTTCCTCAACAGAGTTTTCTTTCGTCTTCCTTCTTGGTGTTGACACCATTCCTTTTGCATTCCCCAGTTGGGTCTTACTTTTGATTTTGGTTATTGGCTTTGACATCGTCTCTTTCCCTTTGCTTTTTTAGTGTTAGTTCCTCGAACTACGTAGACTCTGACTTCCTCATTGCACCATGAGGTTACGTAGGCACAAGATTGCAAAATCTTGGCGAGCCACCTTCCTTCGTCTTCTTCCATTCTTCTGTCTCTCTGGTTTTTTCGGATCCTCTTCTTTTCCTTGGTTCCTTGAACTACGGAGCTCTGACTTCCTCATTGCACTATGAGGGTACGTAAGCAGGAGGGCCCCAATCCTCCGTGAGCACTTTCCTTTCTTTCTTTTTCTTTTCTTTCCTTCCTTTTTTAGTTAGAAGCCTTTAAATATATAACCCATCCAAGCCTAGAAGCAAGCGAAATGGTTCCCGTCGGGTACGGCGGATGCTTAAGGTGCTAGTACCTTCCTTTCGCATAACCGACCCCTTTCCCGTTTCTCTTCCCTTTGGGTTTTATCAATATTTTCTCGGTCCTTTGGGACTAAATAAAGTTCGGTGGCGACTCTGGTGTATATTTGAGTGTGCGATTCACTAAGGTATAATCCCGGTAGCTTCACCGTTGGCGACGTCCATGTTGTCGCGACAAAGGGCTTTGAGATTCGCCCCGTTGAGGTCTCCGCGGAGGAACTGGACGCCTATATCTCTGTAGAGGAGAGTATGATTGTCGTTACTTTTCCAGCATCCCGATGCGTTCATTCTGTTGGAACATCATCAGGTTCGTCAGATTGATCGCTGCAAACAAAGCCATCATGGTCGGGTTAGCGTTGGGCGACATGGGGATTTGTTGGAAACTAGCGGGAATGCCAAACCGTTGGGCGGCACTGATGGCCATGTCGTTGGAGGAAGGAGAAGCAGTGCGGCCGTCCCTGGGGTCACCCTTGTCGATAGGGACAACCATGTCAGAGTTATGGTCGTCGCCATTGGTAAAGGTGGTGAAGGAAGTTTCACAGACGTTATCGTCAACACGTGGGCTGTCCATGATGGATGGAAGTTAAGATGCTTTCGTTTTTTGATTTTTGAGGAAGAAAGAATGGGGAAGCAGAAGTATCCCACAGAAGGCGCCATTGATCTTACCGGATCAGAAAGAGATCAGCAGCCAGCACGTATCGTGAGCTTCTAGTCCGTCGGTAGTGGAGAAGAGGAGGGGGCGTACCTACAAGATACTCTGATGCCAAATTAAGAAACGGAGTAAGAGAAAACAAGTACAAAAAGGTAGTTTGTGAATCGAATCCCTGACCCTTTAGTGAAAGAGGGTATTTATAATGTGCCCCCAGCGTTAGGCCAACAGTTATTTTGCATTGGGTCAGATCACTAGGTCCAGTACGAATAATTTCCAGGATCTACGTGGCATAGGGAAGACCAGCACGTGGTCCTCATCTTGTTCTTTTGGACGCGGGTAGTTGCTTGATGACATGTCCCCGCGCGGAGAGCACATGAATTCCGTGTGGGAAACGCGTGAGTATTCTCTGTATAGATTGAGCCTTCATTGGGCCATCCTCGACGAGGAGTTGGGTTGGTCCGTGCGTGTCTGTGAGGAGTTCGTCCAGTGTGTTGGGCCTTTCAATACCAACCTTATTGGCTAAATCGCTGCGGGGTTGCAACCCTCGCTCGATCAGGTATCTCTTCATATTGTCTGTCGTGGACACCTGGACGGCTTCTCGATTGAATCTCTCTATGTACTCCTGGAGAGATCCGTCACTCCCCTAAATGATAGCCTCCAGGGATGCCTCCGTCTTCGGATGCCGCCGAGAGGCAGTGAAATGTCTGAAGAACTGTCTCTTTAGCTCTTTCCAGGAAGTGATACATTCGGGCTCGAGGCTCTTGTACCACGCCATCGCGCCCTTTCTCAGGATCGTCGAGAAGAGCTGACTTTTGATGGCTCCCCGGACGTTGCAGTAGTCGAGCATCGCGTCGATCCTCTCTATTTGGTCGTCCGGATCGGTTGTGCCATCGTAGGTCGCCAGAGTTGGCGGTTTCTCCATCCCGGCGGGGAGGGGAGTCTCCGTGATAGCCCTGGGTAGAGGAGTGCGGAGATCGGGCTCGTCACTTCTAATGGGTGACCGTAACGGGGAAGGGTCGAATTGGGGGGGTCCTGCAGCGGCGGGGAGGAGTCCTTGGGGTCGACTCTTTGTTTTCCCTAGTTGCCCGTCGACTTTGCTCCTCTTTTGGACCGGGGAGCGTTGCTTCTTCCAGGGAGGATTGCGGCCGCGCTTCCGATTGCTACAGGTTGAGGCCTTTATAGCCGTGGATGACGTCCATGTTGTCACGGCGAAGGGCTTTGAGATTCGCCCCGTTGAGGTCTCCGCGGGGGAGAAATGAGACACGTTTCTCGCCCTACCAGGGACGGGCTGCGAGAAACTGAGCGCCTATGTCTCTGCAGAGGAGAGCATGATTGTCGTTCCTTTTCTAACATCCATATGCGTTCATTCTGTTGGAACATTATCAGGTTCGTTTAATTGATCGCCGCGAACAAAGCCACCATGGTCGGGTCGGCGTTGGGAGACACAGGGATTTTCTGGAAACTAGCGGGACTGTCGAACCATTGGGCGGCGTTGATGGTCGCGTCGATGGAGGAAGAAGAAACGGTAAGAGAAATCAAATACAGAAAGCTAGTTTGTGAATCAAATCCCTGACCCTCTAGTGAAAGAGGGTATTTATAATGTGCCTCAAGCGCTGAGCCAACATTTATTTTGCATTGGGTTGGATCACTAGGCCAAATACGAATAACTGTCAAGATCTATGTGGCATAGAGAAGACCATCACGTGGTCCTCATCATGGTCCAACTGCCCCGTGATCTTCGGAAGATGGGTGACCTGTTCTTTCGGACGTGGGTAGTTGTCTGATGACGTGTCCGCGCGCGGAGAGCAAGTGGAGACCGTGGGGGAGATGCGTGAGTGTTCCCTGTATGGATTGGGCCTTCATTAGACCCTTCTCGACGAAGAGTTAAATTAGATCGTGTCCGACTGTGGGTCAACATCTGGCCCAGTCCAGAACATATTATATTTTATATTTTAAATAAAAAAATAAGTTTAGTTATCATGAATAACTTATGAAAATAAACTAAAAAAAACTCATACAAACATTATCATAAATTCTTTCAAATATCACAAAATTTATACTATTAGTTAAATTTAAATAACTAGAACAAATAAACATTTAAATCTCATTGATATTTTAATTTATTAATTTTTTATTTATAAATATTTAAATGAAATAGATTTTTAAATATATTAATAAATTGATCAAATATTCAAAAAGGTGAAACTAAAAAAAAAACTATAGATTACAATTCAGATTTATTTTTAAATATTTTAAACCTATCTCAACCTAATTTTTTTCTCCCAACACCTTAGAGTATATTTTTTCAATATCTCATATTCAAATCTCATTAGATATAAACAACATGTATTAAACCAATCCATACAGAGTTTTTCTTTGACAAACAACTCATTAGATTAGTAAGTCTCACAATCTTTTGTTAGTAAACGGTGAGATTGATCCCTTAAACTCAGTAACATCCATCTTGGTCTAATCCCATATTTAAATAAAAAAATTGTAATAGAAAACATCCAAAGATGCTAAAAGTAATTTACTTGTGTCCAAAATTGAAACTCAAACACACACCTACTCTATATATTCATTTTCTTCTTCCCTAAGCCCTACCCAAACCGCTGTCTGCCATTTTTTCTCTTTCTTTCAGATCCGTCGTTACTTTACCGTCTTTTCCCATACTCCTCACCTCTCAACTAGGTCAGCGCTAGTCATCTGGATTTGTCACACCTTCTTAGCTGGAACACACATACTTTTCCACGTCACCAAAACATTCAACTTTTTACTTCACTATTCACTAACAGAATCTTTGTTTGTGTTGTCTTCCTACAATCACAACAATAATAAATACTACTATATAATATTATATTATATATATTCCAGGAGCAAAATGAATTATAGAATTTTTTTTATGTAAAATCAATTCTATGCCCTACTTTCATCTGTCATCTCAGCTAACAAATTAAAAAGATACTAGTAATTTATTATGAGTGCAATTTATATGATAAGAAATCTCAACAAAAAAAGAAGCTATCTCAACATTAACCTGCAATTCTTTGAAGACTTCACTCAAAGCCATTAAATTGAAATGACAACTCATACCTGTAAAACTAATCAATGATAACTATACTATTTTTGTTATCACTTAAATTTTAAAACTCACTGCTTCATTGGGCTTCTCAAACAAAAATAAAGTTTGGTTTGACGTTTCAACCGTTATAAATTGATTTCGAAAATATATAAAATTATTTAGTTTATTAAAAAAATAAGAAACAATACATAATGATATTATTTCCAACAAAATTGGTGGTTTGAAAAACCATCCATGATGCACATACCATAGCTTTAGAACATACAATATATAGTTATTTTGTTGATACACATAGTAATAATAAAAAGTGATGAAGAAATTCTTATTTAACAATGAAAACTTGAAACTAAATAATTATTAATATATATAAAAATTGAATGAAAAGATTATTAGGAGAGTGGGGCCCTTTGAGGAGCACCTTTTCTTCTGCTACCAAGAGAGAGGACAATGGCAGGGAGAGGGAGGAATCTATTGTTGCTGGTGGCCTGATCTTCATTGATGATGGAGTAATTTGAAGAACTTGGCCCAATTTGGTGGTTATCTTCATCAATTACCTCAGATCCATCAACTCTTAGTCCCTCGAATTGCGATATTGCAAAATCAGACTCATCAAATCGATGTAAAATATTCGACAAACTTTGACCCTCGTACACCATGTGTTCTACCTGCAATTATATCAATTTTTTATCAACTTTTTCTTTCATATATGTTACTCATTTTACTCCTAGGATAAGAAACTAAAAATACTTACTATTTCACATGCATTAAAAATAGAGTAAAAAGTGTAATAATTGTCTTCGTTAACTATTGATTATTAATAACAATTCTTATAAAGGTATAATGTAATGTTATGATTTGAAATTTTTATACACAATATTAATTTGGAGGTAAAACTAAAATCAATTAATTAATATTGTATTAAAAAGATAAGATAACAGTTATTACAAATTTTTTATAGAGATACTTATGTATGAGTCAAGAGTGTTTTTTTATGTATAGTTTATATTATAGTATATTTGAATAACTTTTAAAAATATTCTCATAACTTTAAATGTTTTTCAAATTAGTTATATATAGAGATGTTTTGCATTGCTTATCAATGTCTTATATTTCTCAACTACCTAAAGTTTTGATACTTTTTTTTTAAAAATATACTAGTGTTAAATAGTTAAATGTAAGAAATTTTGACTATCTATCACTTTATCAATTCACTATTATAAAAAATAAAATATTTAGTTATATCAAAAAACATATGTAACAGCTACAACATTTACAAACTAAATTCTTGTAATAAGAAAATATAAAATTTTAGTCACTGCATATTCACTCACACCACCCTGCTTTCTCGCAAACTAAATAAAGATGATATATTAATGAATTATTTTGATGGTGACTTAAAGCTGTGAAAATAATAAATAGTTTTATGAATTCTATAAATGGTAAATTTAAGTAGTTGGAAAATTAATTTGCCCAAACAGGGGTCCTCACACAATTTGAACCTGTCATACTCATATCATATCATCCTCTTATTTTTTCCCAGTCCTTCTCTCAGTTCTCACCTTCTATTTACCTGTGTCCTTTTTTTTGGTGAGGTTTTGGTGTAAACAAAGCCTAAACATACAATAATTCTAGTTCTAATAATAATTAATACTTCTTCCTCCATCTTAATTATAAAATCTTCCAGGAAAAACATAAAATTCACAAAATTGTTTGTAATAATATGTTTGTTGATGATTAGTATAATTTTACAAATTTATTTTTCAAGTTTGTTAAATTTTCAATAGAGATTTGGAAAAAATATAATATAATAAAGAATATTGTTAATAAAGAAATAATTATTACAGTAAAAAATTTAAAAGTTATTAAAATGATCACTATCGTGAGACATTATTTGGATGAGTATGGTAAAGTGTATTCAATTATAAGTTCAAGAATTATTTTATCACTAGTTTTTTTTATGTATACAACTGTCATTAGTTTTTAAGCTAAATGTAAGTTTTTTTTTTTTTTTTTAATTTCAATTAAAAATTATTAGCATATATTAATTTCTGTTAATTTATTAGCAGAATACTATTTGAAATAATATTTAACATAATAACTATACTGGAAATAGAAATTATTGGCATTTATTAAGTTCTATTAATTTATTAGCACAATAGTATTTGAAATAATATTTTATCTTAATAAGTTTACTGATAATAAAAATTATTGGCATATATTGTTTCTGTTACTTTACTAGCACAATACAATTTGATATAATATTTAATCTTAATATATATATATATATATATATATATATATATATATATATATATATATATATATATATATATATATATATATATATATATATATATATATATATATATATATATATATATATATATATATATATATATATATATATATATATATATATATATATATATATATATATATATATATATAAATCGATCTCAAAATTAATCATTTAAATAGAAATATAATTTTTAATAAAACATTATAACAAAAATAGATTCATATAACTGGCCTTAGGACTTAATATCTGTTATAGTTATTTTCCTTTCTTAAATGTTTGAATTTTAATTTTTTAGATTGAATATTAATTTTTTTATATCTAAACTTTTTATATGATGTATATTGTTTGAGAAGCTTTGCACATTATATTATTCATTTCAATTTTTGTACAACTATTTATTCTTTACGATTTAGATATATTTTACTATACAAATATTTTTAAAAATAATATAGTATTTTAAAACTAATACAAGAAATTTATCTGGTTTTCTTCAATCATTTATTTTTATACCACTTTATAGCTTTTAAGTCTCCTATCAACTTTAAGTTATAAGGTTGAGCTCTCCACTAACTTATCAATTTTAGTTAGACAAAAATGAACACCTCTCCCATAAAAGTAATCTTTTTAGATGAATCAAAACCAAATAGAAAATAGATTAATACCATAACAAAAAAGAATAGTAGATAGAGAAATGACAAAAGAACCTTGCATGAGAGAGAACAGAAATGGAATGGATCCTGAAGAATTCTGTCACAAGTGAAGCAAGCATTGGCTGTAACTTTGCATGACCTTGATTGTGGCCTCTGGTTTAAAAATATCACTTTCGCACTGTTAATAGTATAGGGCTACAATCAAATACAAACATTAATCAATTACTTTATAAACAAAAAAGTATTAAAACCTTATAATTAATTAATTATTATCACAATAAGTTTTTTTGATCTTGATACTAGTTTTTTTTTCTAACCTGAATATTGGAACAATCTATGAGCTTTTCCAGATCATCCAATCGAATTACATTGTGGTAAACATACCTTCTCACCTGCACCATACAGTCAAACAAATGTTACAAATGAAGTCAATAGTAAATAAGTAATTAAAAAAAATAAAAAATTAAAAAATAAATAAAGACTTCCCATTCTTATTTATCTTTTTAAAATATCAATAAATTATTTTACTATTAACCCATTATTTTTGATATAAGAATGTTGAAACTTGACATAAATTTTGTCTTTAATGAAATACAACAATATTTTTGGGAGAAGCAAAAGTAAAATTGTGAGGATTTAAGTTAGACAACCAACCCTTGGTCATGTAGAGAGCTTCAATAAATTCAAGAGCAAAAGAAATTAAATGAAGTGTGAAATGAGGAATAATTTAAATAGAAATGGTGGGTTCTTGTGCAAATTAAATTATAATTAAATAATGGGACATGAATTGGGAAATCAATGGGTCAAACTTTTCGCTTTCAATGAAAGGAACAGATGATGAACCTTTGCAGATAAAAAAGAGATGTTCTATTAATGGGAAAAAAACCAAAACCCAAAAGTAAGAAACAATCAAGACATATAGTGAACCCTTTTGGAAACCATATATAAATATACATAAACATAGATATGGGTAAACACCAAATACAATGAGACAATACTGCTGAATTTTCATTACACAATTACTTACCACTCTATACATTTTTTCATATTATTTGTGTAATAAGATAATTATCACTTAAAAATATTATTTTATTATTATTTATATATAATATTATTTCAATTAATTAATCTATTAATTATGAATAATAATAACATTTTCATAAATAATATCAATTTTATTATTGAAAGCAATTCAATTAATTATTATTTTTTATGGTGTCTTTCTTTGATTAAAAAAATTATAAGTGATCATACTTAAAAATATAAGACTAAATTATGCATATGAAAAACTATAATTGAACATATTTAATATATGCAATTGTAATAATAGATAGAATTCAATTATATCTAAATTATTCTCTATGAGTATTGATAAGTTGATTTATTAAAAATATAAAAAATTGAGTTGAATGAAATGTATTTTAGAATTACTATCATTAAATAAATAAATTTTTAAAGATTTTATTTATTTATTTATAATTTATTCCAAAAAAAATTGAGACAAAATTTGTTTATAATTAATTGGGAGGGAGTATATAGAAAGAATCTAGCAGAAACAACCCTGAAACCCCATTAATTGACATAAAATTGGAAAGTTTTCCAAAGAGAAAATTGCATGGACCAAATTAAACCCCAACAATTTTAACTTGACAAGTTTTTTACCCTCTTATTTCCTCATCCGAATGAAATTAAGAAAATACAAAGTAACTTTTTTTCCCATAACTCTTCTCAGATTGCAAGAATTCATTATAATTTGAGTGAAGTGTGTGTAGGTAAAAATTTATAGTATAATTTTACAACAATTACATGTGAAATTGCTTTGAAATTCACAACCTGATTAAAACATCTTGAGTTTTCCAAAAGAATTAATAATATTTGTACTTATCAAAAAATTAAAAAGGATTAAAAAACACCTTGAAGCTATCACCAAGGTAAATCCTCCAAAGTTGCATGTCAGAGAGAAATTATAATGAAAGAAGGTCACGAGAAAATGAGTTTAAAAAATAAAAGAGAATTTTTATTTTAACAAATTAAATCCAAAAGAGATCCAGAAAATAAAACTCTCAAAACAAAAAAATTCAAAAAAAAAAAGAAAAATTAAAAGCCTAGCTATAGCTAGTTAGCTAGGAACAAGTGAAAATCCAAGAATCTCCAAATATCCATGAAACAAGAAAAGAACCTAAAGATAACAAAGTGTTCCAAAAACATGAACAAATAATTAACACCACCCATCACGTGAATTTTTGCAATTACTAGTTGAAATTGACAAGATGAAAGACATAAAAAAGAAGATTAGAAAGTGATTAATTGAGAAAAATAAAAGATGAAAATTGAAAGAATAATTAAAAATATATAATATAGTACCTGGAGAAGAGGATGAGTGGTATGAGAAGATAAGCAGTGGGGGCAGATGCTAAGACAACAGTGTAAGCAAAAAATGTTCTTCTCGTTCTTCCTTCGATTTTTGTGGACCCCACAATCTCCAAAGAATGTTTCATCCATCAACCTCTCTAGCCATGCAGGTTTCATATTCATCATGTCCATCTCTCCACCACCTCTTGATGATGATGATGAATATATACTACTACTACCTATCATCATATATAATTCTCTCTCTCTCTCTCTCTCTCTCTCTATATATATATATATATAACTATATATCTATATATCTTCTTGAAACCCTAGCTACTAGCTAGTTTAATTTTTTTTGAAATATATTTATTATTGAGATGAATTTGGTTTTGAGAAATGGTTTTTTAATATATTTTTTGGGGGTGATGATGATGATGATGATGATGAGTGATGAGAGATGAGAGTGAAAGAAAGATGTATATATGATGAAGAAAACCCTAGTAAAAATATAAAACACAGGACCTCTCTATTATTCTGGCTATTTATAGAAGAGAAAGGTAAAAAATAAAGGAAGTTGGAGAAATAATAATAATGGGAAGGTGATGATGTGGTGAAGAGAGAGAGAGAGAGAGGAGTTTTAATGGCGGGAAGGAAGAGAGAGGCCACCACACACACACACCAATATGTACTGTCTTTCTGTGGATACTAACAATTTTTGGTCTCAGTAGTCATCTGATCATCTGAGCACTCCACTATGACACATTCATTTATTAAGGTCTCCCACCTTCACATTTGACCAAATGTCCTTCACTCTTTTCTTTTTTTACAAACTATAAATAAACAGTGTGTTTTGTTTTATATCTTTTGGTCTATTTGGGTAAATGTTTCCTATTTTTTCTTTATAATCCTAACTTATTTACGCACACCAAAATAATCTCATTATTTTATATCATTCCAATTTGTTGTGTTCGTATTACAATTGAGGCGGTGAGAACAAATTTATCTACGTATATATGGTTATGGTGATATTGGAAAGGGTAATGATATAGCATTATGGATTGTGAGAGTTTTCAAAGCATTGATTGTGTAATTTCAATAGAATTGTTTTTGTAGATGATGATGTTTGGTTTAACTTGTTGGATTGATGTAAAGGAAGATGATCTTTGGGAGAATTTAGATTTAACATGTTGGATTGATGTAAGGGGAGGTGTTAAAGCTTATATAAAATTGCGGATTGTTGGATTACATCAAATTTATGAAAAATAGAATCAAAATATTTTTGATTGATTGTTCCTCTTATTCTTCATTATTCACTTCATACCCTATGGGTTGAATTTGATGAACTGAGTGAAAAAATATATTTCATTGCAATTTTTACAATGATGAATATAAAGATGTCAATTGTTACAAAGAACCACAAGAATGATAATTTTTAATGTAGAGAGAGAGAGAGATGTTTTTCATTAATGAGATACCCATTATGGTGTATATACATAATTACATTGATTGAGGTACAAATAACAAACAAAAAATAGAAAAATTTATAGCTGTAATCAGTTACAAACAAAGTGTAATAGGTTACTCAACACTTATGTTTCTGCTGTAACTAATTACTTATATCCTGTAATCGGTTACATCAAAACTCTATTTGTTTTCTCCAAAAGGGTGTAACCAGTTATAGCCACATAGTAACCAATTACAAGCGCGTGAATTACTCTTTTTCACTTAACACACCACCTTAGTTAATGTGCTCCAAGTCTTTCATGCACACATGTTTCTTCAATCTTTTGACTACTTCAATCGTCCCTCCTTTAGTAACCAAATCAGCTACTTGATCTTCATTTCTACAATACCCCAACCTCAACCTTCCTTCATTAACAAGTTGTCTCAAGTAGTGAAATCTCATCTCACCGTGCTTTCTTCTCTCATGTGCAATGAGATTTTTAGCAAGTTTTATAGCTAAAATGCTATCAACCATGAGCGTTAAAATCTCACCCTCTTCATTGTATAACTCCTTTAAAAAACTCATTAACCATACGACTTGGCACGCACACAACGAAGCAAAATATACTCGGTCTCACAATATGAGATTTCCACTATCGGTTCCTTCTTCAAACACTATGAGATTGGTTTTTCTCTGAATATAAAAATATTCCCAGCTTTAGATTTTTTATCATCTTTATCTCCACACCAATTGGAATCGGTATATTCGAGTAAATTGCACTTTCTACACTTGTTTGTTGCGAGAAATAAAATTCCGCAGTGCATGGAACCTTTGATGTATCTTAGAGTTCTCTTGACTGGTGCCAAGGGAGACACATTCAGTATCTTTGTGAATCTGTTCACAATTCTTACACTAAAAGCCAAATATGATATCGTATTACACAAGTATCATAACGATCCAATCAACATCCAATATTGAGTTTGATTAACATCTTGCTCATGTTCACTATTTGACAGTTGGATCCTTAATTAACGATCCATTTCAATTTTTTTTTCAAAATCTCAAGAGCATACCATTTTTGATGCATGAGCAATCCCTTTTTAGACTTGTAAAACTCAATGCCAAAGAAGTATGTCATGTGTCCAAGGCCGGTCATCTCAAATTCTTTCATAAGCTCACCCTTGAACTTAGAAATGCAGTTTTAATTGATGACCGTGATAAAATAATCATCCATGTAGAGAGAAAGAATTACCACCTCTTCATTTGCATCCTTCTTCACATACACACCATGCTTAAATACACAAATGCTTAATCCTATATTTTTTTATGAAACCATATATCCTATTGTTCCAAAATCTCGGAGCTTGTTTCAAACCGTACAAAGCTTTCTTCAATCTATAAAACTTTGATTCTTGGTTTTTTAAAACGAAACACGTGGGTTGCTTCACATATACCTCCTCTTCCAATGGTTTGTTTAAAAACTTAGATTGACATCCATTTGATGAATGGACCAATTGTTGATGTTCGCAATCAAAATAGCCAATTAGATGGTCTCAATTCTTGCTACCAGTGTGAATACTTCCTCAAAGTCCACTCCATCCTTTTGCAAAAATTCCTTATCTACCAATCTAAGTTTGTGCTTCGTAACATCTCCTTTAGAATTTACTTTGACCTTATACACCCATGTCACACCTATGGGCCTTTTCCCATGAGGCAAATCAAACAACTCCAATTTTTGTTCTTCTCAATCGATTCGAGCTCCTTCTTCATTGCACAAATTCATTTTGGATCACTCATAGCCTCCACTATTTTAACGGGTTCAGATTCAACCATAAGTGAAAAATGAACGAAGTCACCATCGTAATTAACTTTGTTATCCTAGAATAAATCACAATATTGGAGTCTTTCAGGGAAAACCTTTTTGCCTTGTTGATCTTCTCATGTTTTCTTCAATTCGGACTTCAGCGGAGGTTGTTTATGCATTTTCCAGTACTACATGAACTATTATTTCATTACTGTAACCTGTTACAGCCTGTTGGTAACTAGTTACAAGCCATTATACTTCCTTTATTTCGTCAAAAATGATGTGTCTACTGATCACGATCCTTCTGTTTGTTGCATCATACAATTTGTAACCCCTAATGGAGCGATACCCTACAAGTATCATTTGATCTCCCTTGTTGTCAAGCTTCTTTCTAAGTTGATCCAGTACATGTCAATATGCCACCGAATCAAATATTCTCAAATGGCTCATGTTCCGTTTAAATTCGAACCAAGAATCTTTTAGTGTGATATTCTCAATCTTTTTTTAGGGCATCTATTCAGCAAATAAGTGGTTGTAGATACAGATTTCCCTAAAACTCTTCCGACAAGTTCTTTCATTTTAGAATGCTCCTTACCATGTTCATGATAGATCGATTATTTCTTTCGGTACCACCGTTTTGCTGTTGTGCATAAGATGACACTACCTCATGTACAATGCCCTCTTGATCACAATACTTCTCAAAGTCATTTGAGACATATTCACCTCCACCATCCATTTTGAGAACTTTGATTTTGTGACCACTTTGCTTTTTAACCATGAACTTGAATTTCTTTGACACTTTAAGTACCTCATCCTTTATCTTGATTAGGTACATCCATAGCTTTCTATTATGATCATCAATCAATGTGACGAAATATCTATTGCCACCAATATAATCAACTTGCATCGGTCTGTACACACCCGAATACACCACCTTAAGATGACACTTAGTTCTACATCATGCATCTTTGTTGAACTTTTTCCTATATTGCTTTTCTTGCACACATTCTTCATAACATTCAGTGGCATCCCCGTTACCATCTTGTTCTTTTATAAGACGCTGAGATCTCGAAAATTAAGATGCTCAAGCCTATAATGCCATATTTAGTCTTCTTTACTAGCGGATGTAGCAAGACATTTATGCTCCATAACCTTTAATTTATCCTTGAAGGTTCTATTTGGAGCCATAGAAACCTTTGGGATGAAAGCTTCATTTGTGTCCATAACGCATAACGCCTTGTTATGCATATGAATTTTGTAACCCTTCTTGACCAGTACTTAGAAATTTATACTTGATTCTCGGAATATACAACACATCCTTATTCAAAGAATATCTACCATCCATTATCTCGATCAATACATCACCGACCTCTTCCGCCGCTAGAGTGGTATCATCCATAAACTTCATTTTATTCTTCATGCTACGATTAATTGCAATAAACCAATCATTCTTCCCGTCACGTGCGTTGAACATCTTGAGTCTAGATACCATTGACCACTGCATTTTACAACCTCTTTCATAGTGACCCTGTAATTTTCTTTTGCCTGTAACCAGTTACAACCTGTTGGTAACTGGCTACAACTCGTTTTCTAAGCTTGATGTAACCCGTTCCACCTATATTATTGTTTGATGTTGTTGCATTCTCCTTCAATGATCATCACCAAGAGTGTGTTCTCATCATCCCACTCTTGTCTTACAACTCGAACTTCAATATCTTGAGATTTTTTCTTATTGGCACTTAACTCTCTTGCAAAATGACCAAACGTTTGATTTGTTTTTACTATCATAAATATAAAGTAGTTTTTTTTTTATCTTGATACTAGTTTTTTTTTCTAACCTGAATATTGGAACAATCTATGAGCTTTTCCAGATCATCCAATCGAATTACATTGTGGTAAACATACCTTCTCACCTGCACCATACAGTCAAACAAATGTTACAAATGAAGTCAATAGTAAATAAATAATTAAAAAAATAAAAAATAAATAAATAAATAAAGA